TTTTGTTTGTCTCCAAGTATATTTATCTTCGAGATCCTGATCTAGTTTTAATTCATCTTATAAATTGTTGTCAACAACTTTTGGTAGCATTTTTGCAGGTCTCAGTTCATGCCTGATCAGAATTTCCCTTTTAGCCTTCAGCAGAAAAGATAATACAGCTGCATGATGATATTACAGCTACTTGTGACTCCGCCAATCCAGACAGACTCTCATTCTGTAAGGTTGACCCTTGCTGGCTGTGCTGCGGTGCATTAACGCAGCGCAGTGCGGTGCTGGCTGGCTAGCTGCGCTACTTTATCACAGCCAGCAGGAAACAGGAAGGGAGCAGCCAGCTGCAAGGTCAGAGGTCAGTCTATAGCATGAGGGGGATGGTGGACAAAAACCTAGTGTTCAGAAAAAAGGTTTGGCTTTTTGCTGTGGTCGTGGTTAAGAATGATAGATGAGAGACTGAAAAAGAAAACACCATAGACATATGACAATCCAGAGTTAGGTCACCAAATCATTCTCTGTACATCTGAATCCCACTTGTCAGGGTTGGCATAGCATCTTAAATAGCAGTAACAGTTGTAGGGGTAGGCTATTGGAGCACTGGCTGCTGCTCAGTATACACACACACACACACACACACACACACACACACACACACACACACACACACTTGCACATGCAGGACAGAGCTGGTATTGTAGAGAGGGACAAGGACAGAGTGAGATGGGGAGATGCTAAAACAGATATCAGCTTGTTCTGCCACATACGAGATTAGATTTCAACCTGTATCTTACTTAGAGTTTCAAAATAATACTAATTATGCCTTTGATAATGCTGTCTCTGCCATAAAAACAAAAGTACACAATGAAGTGTCATTCACTGGGCAAAACTTGTGCCAGAGACAGCTGTACCACCCTGCAAGCCTGATGCCAGTCAGACCAGAGTTCACTTTCACATCCACTCTCTCTGCCTTGGATTCACACATTCTATGTTTGCTGTTAGACTCATCGCGTGAGCCGAAACCTAGACAGATGCATATCAAACTTTTTGGTTGTCTGTCCCAAAAAATCTTGAGCTGAAGCGAAAGGTAATGTCACATATTTCCATGCATCAACATTTAGCAATATCAATAAATATATTATAAATCAAAGGGTGATTGCGGTTGTTTGCCTATGTTGCCAGCACTATAAATTTGATCAAATGACACCCACTTAATCCTGATAAAGCAGATTAGCTGAGATGAGTTTTTGAATGTTGAACTCTACAGAATGCTTCAGGGATTGTAGGCCAACCCAGAAGTTAGCATCACCCTGGTTCCCTTGACAAAAAGCCAGTAGGATTTTTCCATTGGTTTTTGGATTACTGCAGAAAATAAACTCTGTGACAAACAAGAGTTTATGATACTTACACATTTTTATCAGCAGGATAATCTTCACAAATGTCACCACTCTATGATTCTTGAAACCTAAATACAATCGGCATAAGTAAAATCTATTGCTAGTTTATAAACAAACTACACCACGGTCATATGACTTCATATGACGTGACCACCAACAAACTTTGAACTTGTCGTTTTATTTAGCTAGCTAACCTATTCTACAAAAGCCTTTCCTCTATCATAGTTAGTAACAGATTACAAAAGTGCGAGTATAAACACAACAAGGCTGTAAAGACAGTTTGTGTTTCATTACATGTGGCATAAACATTCACTTGGACTAAAGGATGAACTGATTAGAATTTGGTGGTCAAAGGTCAACATCCCTGTTCATACTTGACAACATGTGGAAAAAGAAATTTAAAAGCTCGTCTCGCCTCTCATCTCACCATGTGTATCTCCCTATCTGACTTGAGTCACACAGATTGGCTGAGTAGCATCACGTGACCAGTGCCATAAAGGCTAGAAAAGCTATAAACTGTAAAGTTTATCAATACATTATGTGTTATCGGATCAGACGAGTTGGAACAACCACACCTGAATCAGTTGCTCTTCAATACATGTAAAATCCACCCGAGCATTAGCCTCTTCAGTTCGCGTTATTTCAGTGCATATTGTGCACATAGAAATTGTGTCCCCAAGTGAGCTTCTTCAAAGATATCATTTGCATTTGAGGGTGAATTGGAAATGAAATGAAATGGTGGGCTTGAAGAGAGGACTTTATAAGCTTAAAGTCTTAAATAGCCTCCATGAATGTTTCACGTTCAGAGATGAGGGGAGTAGATAAGTGTATTCATAAAATGGCAAACTAACCTAGATGTGGAAATGAAGGCTTTGAGTGAGAAGAGATTAATTCCACACATAAACTTAAGAGAAACAGGGTACTGTCCTCATATGATTATGTTGTAGATGAAAGAGCAGGAGGGGGACTTGTAACTTAAATAAAAGCACAGGGTAGAGAGAGTTTGACAGAAGAATGGATGAGGCTTCAGCTTTAAGGCTCAGTAGGCCAGTAGGGCCAGGAAGCAGGAGAAACACAGGAGAACCCCCTGCTGAGATGATAGCTGCTGAAGAAAAAACACACAGAAATGCAGTGTCAAACATGCCTGCTTTTTCCTGAAATGACACTGGAAAGGGTTCACGATTATGGCTGACTGAGGTCTTCAGGGAAATGCGGGGAGTAGTTGAAGGTCTCATTTTCCACATTGCATCACTGATGAGGACAGCCCTGACATCAAAGACATACGGTCGATGCGTCTGCCTTCAAGTCTTTGCTGTGGATTTAAAGTGGGCAGTGCAGTGAAAGATTAGACATCCAGCTATAAGAGTGTTCACTGTTTGAGGATCATTTACTGCTGAGAGGGTATAAATATAACGCTTTATCGCAGTTTGCGAGCATTGCATTTTCTCTTTCAGATTTGTGTCTGTTCTTCTGAGGTTAACTATCACACTAACAAGCACTGGTCTATTTTGGCAGGTTCTCAATGTACACTAATCTTATTCATCTATCTTCAGTCACTATCCTTCCTCATTCACTCTTTCCACTCCCCCCTCTCTGCGCTCATAGGGTGCGTAGTGTAGTGTGGGGCAGCTGCAGTGTAGCCACGCTTTCATTGCTGTCTCTCTCGTGCATCTCAATTCACCCTGCCCAGCAGCCAAGCACAATCTCGCTCTGTGCTGCCTCGTAAATCATGGCTTTCTCAGCATAACACTTCTAACGCTGTGATGGGGTGCAGGGGTATGGTGACATTGTGCAGCTTCGTTCTCTCATTTCGAAGTCTCCGTTTTTTGTATCATCCCCTCTCACTTTTGTCTTCCACAATTATACTCTTCTCCACATCTTCCTTATTTTTGGCTCTCCTACTCTTTAGCCCTCTCCTCTTCTCTGCGCTTGTCGACCACCCATTTGCGACTGGAACCAAAGCTCTATACTAAAATGTACTAGCCTCTACATCACGGTCACTCTGATTGTGTATGTGTGTGTCCTTGAACACTGCTATGTTGTCTCCATGGACCTGTGGCTATTTCTGTATTGTGGAAGCAGCTAAGGACAATTCTCAGTGGAAGAAAACACCAAGCAGAAACCAGGCCTTGAGTAAAACGTCTTTATTTCCACCCTCAACCCTCCTCTGTTAACTACCATCCGTCTTACTGCATATTTTACAAACTGTAACCTGTTATTCTTATGGAAGTGTACAGTCTACCCTCAAATTTCATGTTTTTTGAGAGGTAAGGCTAAGCATTCACGTTGCCTCCTCATGTGTGTGTCTGAACTGAATTTAAGGGTCACTTGAGTTTCCCTCAGTAACTTTATAAGTGAAAACAAATTTAATGTTACTTGCCTGTCACATTGGGGGGTTTTTTTCTCGGCCCAGTATGAAACTGAATCACTTGCACGTTGAAAATGTGCTACACCAAGGCGAAACTACTACCTTCCATAACATCAATAACATCTACAAACTTTCACACATCAATCTATCCAACAGTGGTGGCCACAGATCTACATGCATTGTTCTCAACTGCTTTTGTTTTATCTTGTAAAATGAAGTAAATGATCATATACCACAAGAAAATCTCACTTTGTGGTGATAACAGTTTCATCTGTGTTTTTCTGATATGGTATGTTTATGTCCAGTGACTGCCAACAGTTGAGCTTTGGTCAAACTGTTCTGTCAACAGCTGGACACTGGACTTCCTTTGTCATGTTGATCAGCTCGATAGAGGTAAAATAAATTTGTGGCAAGTAGTTGACACAGACACAGTCTGATCATCTTCCCAAGCTACCAGTGGAACATGAGTAGTGATATATTCCAGAGAATTGTTAGATTTGAGATGGCACTGGTGTCAAGACTAAATTCCTACTGGATTAATTAAGAAAGAAACTAATAAGTAAATGGGAGAAGATGGATGTTATCAGAAAACATGCACAAGGAGAGAAGGCTCCATGTCTCACTAGAGTCGTCTTTTCTATTTGCTGATGTGTTCCTTCTGCACATTTTGCTTCACATATTTTCATCATCCACCACTGTTACTAGGGGTGTGTTTATCAGCCAGTGAACTACCAAGGGATTTCAATGTTGCCTCTGCACTATTTAGATCAGACATGCTTTGGAAAGAAAGTGTTAAAAAATGATATATAAATGTATTAAACATGTAATACATACTTGAATGCAAGAATTAATCAGATGTTCCTTTTTTTCTGTCATTGACAGTCATTGGATTTTGTTTTGCATTGTCACAGATGGCAAAACCAACAAGAATGCTAAACAGGTTACTATTTATAGTTGCCTGAGAAAGTTGCACATTTGACACACATTTGAATATTGAAATGTGTGTGTGTGTATATATATATATATATATATATATATGTGTGTGTGTGTGTGTGTAAATTCCTTTATTATCTTGTAAACTAATCATTGTTATCAGAACTCACCAGGATTAGGATTGATACATTCCATCAATAATACATAAAGTCTATTCAGTATTACGGTTCAAATGATGACGCTGTAACCACATTGCAATGATAAAGACGTGTAATCTCACACACTCTTGACTTGTCTACTCTTGACTTCCACAGACGGAACCTCACCAAGCTGTCGTTGATCTTCAGCCACATGCTGGCTGAGCTGAAGGCCATCTTCCCCAATGGTCTGTTTCAGGGTGACAACTTCCGCATCACAAAGGCAGATGCCGCAGAGTTCTGGAGGCGCGCCTTCGGGGACAAGTGAGTCCAATTATATATTACTTTACACAATAGAATATTATATTTCTCCAGTGGTTCCACACTGGAATCCTGGAGCCCTATGGGGTCCCTTACAGGATTTTCCCAAGAAAATGAGTTCAATTCAGCACATAATTAGAAGTTACAACACTAAGAGAATGTATAAGTGACATCTGAGAGAAATTGTTTCAGCCTCCTTGCTCTTTTTTTTTTTTACAGTAGTTACAGACAATAAATATTTTTTCTGAGGCTCATGTTGGGTATCCAAAATATCCAGAGAGGTCTGATGACTACTACATTCTTTTATGGCGTCCTTGATAAGTAAATGTGTGAAGTCATGTAATATATCATCACACACATTTGAGTTAACCAGTCCCCAAATGCACACAGCTAAGTCGAATTGTAACTGAAAACAGTACAGAAATAAATGAGATGTGGAACTACAAGGACATTTTAAATGCTGGGTTTTCCCAATACTACGTAATGATACATTAATTTCCCTATTCATCAGATAACTGTGTGGTTTATGTATCTTACCTCTATAGCAGGAACTGAACAAAGAATGTGACCACTATATGGGAAAGCTAAGTTCTGTATTTTTCAAATGTTGACCTGAGTGCATTTAAATTAATCTGCCAGCTCTTTTATCAAAACATCACATCACGTTAACTGTCATGACCACTGACCCTCAAAACTGTATTTGGGAGTGCTCAAACAGTCTGTTCAGAAAATAGCATTTCCTCTTTATCACGTATGAATCACTAGAATTCAACGTCCTGACGGGAAATGTGGTTCATATCTGTATTTAGAAGAGCTACTGTGTACTAACTTAAGTGCTCATGATGCACACAAGAATCATGTAACACACCAGGTAAGACTAAGTTCAAATCAAGACTGTCACCACACCTTTATGCACCTTGGGAACGCCACAAGGCAGAATGCAGGTAGTCTACACTTATTATTTATGGTGTCTTGATGTTTGTTTTATTTCAGTTTGCTGTTTTACAGGACCATAGTGCCTTGGAAGGTGTTCCGTCAGTCTCTTCATGAGTTTCATCCCATCAGCTCCGGACTGGAGGCCATGGCCCTGAAGTCCACCATAGACCTCACCTGCAACGACTACATCTCTGTCTTTGAGTTTGACATCTTCACCAGGCTATTTCAGGTAGGGAACACACATACACACACTGCACCTTTCTTCTTGTCTTATCATTTCCTTTTGAGTTATTGAGAGAAGAAATGTACAAAGGAAGAGAGTGACAGAGAAGACAGAGACAGAGAAAGAGAGAGAGAGAGAGAGAGAGACTAATACAGCAGTCTGTTAGCCTTGGTAAAGGAAACAAATTTAATTTGAGCAGCACATAATGAACTTAAACTAATCTGCCACATCTTTTTTTGGCTAACGCTATCAACCTTTTAGCAGGATGCCTGCTGACATATTCACACTGTCAGATGGGACTGAAGTTGAAACCTTCCTCTTCTCTGCTCACGCAGTACATATAGAGATGTTTGGCAATTATTTTGTCCTTTTTAAGGGGCAACTGTTGCTGCTTTACAAGGCCCAGTCAGTGTTTTTTTCCAGCTAGAATCACACTGAGATCCTCCTCAAGGACAGTCTTTATTATATGTCCTCCCTTCAGGTTGTACTGTCTTACTGCTAGATGAATAATAAACAACAAGAATGAAAATTAGTGGAATAAATCCCTAGACGGGAATCTAACTAAGCATGCACTTACATTGACAGTTTATGAGTTGTTTTACTATGCCAAACACTGACTCAACTTCGTAATAGATAGACCACACTAGCAGCACACTGCTCATGCACTGGGAGTTGTGGTGAGGTAAAGGGCTAAATGTAGCCAACCATTTATATTTTTCAATCATATACATGGGGCAGCAGGAAAAAGCACATTTATTGTTTTCTTTTTCATCAACATAGAATGAAGCAGCGAGAGAAAGGAGCATGTATAAAAAGAAAAACTACAAAGGATAGAGGAAGGGGAGGGCAGAGGGTGGGTTTATCAGGAATCATCTTCAGAGCTTATCTATAGTATGTAGTGCAAGCATTTTGTATCAGCATTGTGATTAACACAGCACCAAATGAAATCTGTTGACGTTTTATCACATTTCATATCTAAACCTAATCACAGACACAGTTCTAATTTACATTACCTAAAACCTCTTGCATCATATTTCATATGCATCAGTGTATGTTGTTTATTCCCTCCGTGACATTATCCCAGGCTACTTGCATGGTGCAGGGTACCGACAGGCTTAATGAAAACTAAACAGATTACAGACATTTCCTATGACACTCCCTCAAACAGAAGTGAAGTCCTCCTCTAAATGTCCTCAAACCCAGAAGAGGAAGTGAGCCTGAGGCCATTTTAAGCTTTGTCCTTGATATGCAGTAGACTGGGGGTGATTATGCTGTGTTTTTATTACGTTAAGAGCACTTGAAATGTGTTATTTCTTGCCGTATCTTTAGGCTGAGTGATGTGGTGGTGATTATAAACCAATATATTAAGCAAAGTTTGCTTGCTGTGCTCAGTTAAGTGTAAAGTCGATCTAGGTTGAATTGATGTCCAAATGGCAAAGAGGTGACTAAAAAATAAATGTACACTTACTGGATATTACATTACTGAGCACCCTTTTGTTTACTAATGCAGCCAGTTGGTGATCACATTACACTAAAGGGAATAAGAGAAATGAGATACAATAGATCTAACACCGAGTCCAGCAGAGGAGACAGTTTTGACTTGTCACTTCCTGTGTGTAAAAAGTCTAATTTTAATTTGGGCAAATACCACAAAGAGACAAATGGATAGGACAATCCCTTTTTTGTCATTTAGCCAAATTACGTATTAATTGTTGTGTAGCTTTAACTTTCGCTGTGACCTCTGCAGCTCATTTTCAGTGTTGCGTTAAATCTACTTCCTTTCACACACAAGACAGACTGGTGAGAGCAATTGTGGAACCTCCTACTCACTACTGCACTCCCATCAGCGTGCTATAGAGCTCTATGAATTATTATATATTTTTTGCTTCAATCTTCAACCCTTACTGTTAGGCTGGCTTGACTTGATTTGGGTCAAGTAGTCTTTAAAGAAAGAAACACCTGTAAAGTTGTCTCACACCTGCTGTATATATAGTGTGGGAAGCAGTCTGCTCATGTTCATTTCATCCTCCTCATCCTGCGGCTCCAGATGGTATCAAACGAGTTGCATGCTGACTTAAGTGTTGCAAATTAAGCTTAAAGGACTGTTTTACATTGCTTGACCCAGATTGAAATGGCCATTGTAAATAACACTTCAGTAAACAGTTTTTTTAGCTTCAACCATGATATATTTCTCCATCACTCTACTTGTACTGTTATTGCTGTGTCAATGCCCTCACACATCAGATGAGTCACTCTGTTCTCTCTTTTTCGTGTGTGTGTCTGTGTGTCTGTGTGTCTGTGTGTCTGTGTGTCTGTGTGTCTGTGTGTCTGTGTGTGTGTAGCCTTGGTCATCCCTGCTGCGGAACTGGAACAGCTTGGCAGTTACTCACCCGGGGTACATGGCCTTCCTCACCTACGATGAGGTCAAAGCACGGCTGCAGAAGTTCATTCACAAGCCTGGCAGGTGAGACATGTAAAAACATGTATGCACATGTACACACAACCTACAATGCAACCTAAATCAACCTCATGTCTGAACACAAGATGGGGTCTCATTAGGTGCTTCTTGATGTGACTGCAGTGATACGGTCATAACTGCACATTTTTGAGCACAGTACATATCTGAATTCACATGGCCCTCACAGTCAACTCACATTGACGTTTTAGTAGCATACGTTTAAGGCAGTGTGAGTAACACAACTTAATAAGACACATGTGACCATGTTCATGTGTTTCCACAGCAACAGTACGGTTGTGGGTTTACTGTAGCTCTCAAGACCTATTTTCATCCCTGCTCGGGAGATAATATATGTGTATGTTAATGTCTGTGTTTGTGTGAGTGTGTAGTATTGTTGTTACATAAGTGACTCGTGCTTTCACTCTGCATGCAAACACAGATGCACATAAATGCAAATTTTGGCTTTGCATCAATACAATGGCAGACAGGGCACAAGTTCAGTCTTGGTCTCACATTCCATTTATGCTGTGTGTGTGCGTGTGCGTGTGTGCGTGCGTGCGTGTGTGCGTGTGTGCGTGTGTGCGTGTGTGCGTGTGTGCGTGTGTGTGTGTGTGCGTGTGTGTGTGTGTGTGTGAGGGCTTGTGTGCAAAGGACCCAGGGCAGCGTGGCACTGGTACCTAGCATCAATGGTCTGATTGTACACTGAAAGCTGATGTCACTGTTTAGGCCGGGCCTGTGTAGGGCCACGTTGACATCTGAGCAGTTATTGGTCTGTTTGAGTGCAGCATTTTATAAATTACAGCTTACTGTCAGGACTGATCTGTTTGTATTATGGGTAAAGCACTCGTTCCACTTCAAAACTAAACATCAAGGCCATCACCAAGAATCCTTTTCTCCACTTGTGCAGTATTGCTAAACTCAGTCCTGTCCTGTCAGGAAATCCTAATACATGCATTTGTGTCATCTACGATCGATTAATGGGCTACTCTTGTTTTTTCTGGCCTACCTAAATCACGTAGTCTCCACCCTCAGCTGGAGTACTTACAAAGACGGGCTGCTTTGCACAGATACTCAATACCCCCTAGAGCTTATTTTTAATTTGGTCATTTCCTGTACAAATTTGTGAAACTTGTACATTGAAGCAAGCAGCCAGGAAATGTTCGATTCTGTGGTGAGTGGCTCATTTTCTTGTCAGACTCATTTGGCCTCTCATAGCCACACTTACTTTTGCACTGCAGCAAGGGGCAACTAAGTCCCCTCAGTCCCATTGTGCACCACACCATGCATTTGGTTGATCTTGGCTATTTACCTTGGAACTTATGCTTTAATGAGCAGTGATGTTTTAATTTTTTGTTCTTATGCAACTCATGTTAAGTCCTCCTCAACCAGGTTGAGTGATAACTATGATGATATAACTGTAGCTGTTTTCCTCTATCTATATATATATATATATATATATACACACAGACATTAATTTGTGTAATATATAATTATATATATAATATAATTAATTTGTGTAATATACATGTAATGTAATGTACAACATATAATCAAATTTTTATGTGGTTAATGTATTTTTATGTATATAGCATGCATGTAGAATGCATTTGATGTCATTTACTTTTATGTGCTTGCTTATCTTTGGACGGGACATCTTATCTTTTTGAACTTTTTATGTGAAGTATGTTCAGACCTTTTTCAGTGATCAGACATTAGTTTAAATTGCCAAGGGGCTATTTCCATGCATAGATCAGCCTACATACTTACACATACTTAATTTATTTCATAAAAAGTTATGTGCAAACTTGAAGAACATGTTTCTTCATGTGCACAGTTTGTCGAACATATTTGCAGTCCTAACTATTTGATCACTTTTTTTTCAGTGTAATAAATTGGAACCCTTTGACACTACTTAAGTATGTCTTATTTCTCATGTCTCTCTCCCCAGTTACATCTTCCGCCTGAGTTGCACACGGCTGGGTCAGTGGGCAATCGGTTATGTGACAGCAGATGGAAACATACTCCAAACCATTCCCCACAATAAACCCCTCTTCCAGGCCCTCATAGATGGCTTCAGGGAAGGATTGTAAGTCCACTGGCATTTTGTTTGGCACAGTCATATCCGTTATTGTCTTGGGGGGGTTACATCTAGACTTCTGATCTGCCATTTTTTGGCTGGGTCTTGGTCTTCATTTGATGCAGTTTTAATAAATGATTTAAAAGTCAAACTTCCTGTCATATGTAGGACTCTTTTTCTATCATTTCCCCTTCTTTCTCCTCTTCCCTTCCCACAAAGCATGCATCACTGCATGCTATGGAGCTCTGTTTTGCATCCCACGACTGAATCTGCCTTTCAGCTTTAAACCAATCCAGCCATATCATATTGCTTGTTCCCATCATTCCAGTGTTATCATAACCAGAATAGAACTGTTGGTTTCTAAGTGCAGCTCAGTCAGTGGTTTTTAGCTGGCTGGCGTGAAACTCATCTTTTTATGCCAGCGTTGATTCCTTTGTTTAATGAAAGCTATGGTTGGCCTGCCCCAACCTGTAATCAAGTGCTTATTTAAACTGGGAAAGCCTTTACAGTATATCGCCTGCATCTACAAAACATTTGTCAAACGGTAATTACAGCATCTGACCCATTTGTAAATTAGTCACATACTGTACATGCATCATATTGGTGGTGATATTAAAACATGTTGCCAGATTGAATGAATGCATTGAACAGATGTTTTTGTTACCGCAGCCTGTTAGGTATACATGCATTATAATCATACTAACTAATGATGATGATAACTTTAAAAGGAAAATGCCTGTGGAAATACCCAAGGATACTTCAAGGGAACCTCTGTGCGTACCCTCTAAGTTTATGTGCCTCTGCTTCTCCAGCTATTTATTCCCTGACGGCCGGACCCAAAACCCTGACCTGACAGGACTGTGTGAGCCTTCGCCTCAAGACCACATCAAAGTCACACAGGTCAGAGCAATGGGCTTCTGAGACTGCATCCTCAGTCATTTATATCTCATACTTTCTTGTTTGTCTTTGGCATTTTATTGTAATTTTGTAATAAAATTTTTGTCCTTTTTTGGTGGACACACAGTCCAGGAAATATCTCAGTTGAAAAAAATGATGCGACAGAGCAGTGCACATCCAGAAGGAGAAGTAAAAGACATGAAAACTGATCCCAGAGGAACTGATCTATCTTATTTTCAACTTTTAAATACAGTTACAAATAAATTGACATTTCAAAGTTTATGTTTTATAGTTAAAGGAAATTGGCCCTCTTTCAGTGCAGGCATTGTTAAGCATTGCAGGAAATGCATATCTGTCCTGCAGTATTTCATACTGTCAGGACACTGAACATTGGGCTCAACATGTTAAATAAGCAAGATACATAATTCTGAATTTGGAAGTATTGTTAAAGAATATCCACCCTGGTGTATCCAGTCTCCGTCTTGTTTGGCTTGCATATCTGCTCAGAGTTTGGTAAAGGTGTTCATGAACAGACTCATTTTGTGTGAGCACAGGACTGAAACTAAAAACACGCCCCCGCATTTTGACTTTGCTCCAGATACTTCTAGGCTCTTTCAAAATGATCTCAGGTGATGTTAGTGCCGTATGATGTTACCCTGTGTTTAGGAACTGAGAGCTCATAGTTGTCTCATTCTTTTCCCCCCTCAGGAGCAATATGAGCTGTACTGTGAGATGGGCTCCACTTTCCAGCTGTGTAAGATCTGTGCCGAGAATGACAAGGATGTGAAGATTGAGCCCTGTGGTCATCTCATGTGCACCTCGTGTCTGACTGCTTGGCAGGTACGAGAGTGGGTGGATGGGAAAGGTTTTCTGTGGGTTGGTTGCTCCATGTTAAGTGTCATAACTCATACCTGTTGAGAGGAGAATATCACTGTCGCAGTGTTTTTTTCTGTACGGCCGTAACAGGCATATAATAGCACATCACCTCCTGTCATCTCTGTGTGCCATTACATCTGCCTTTCTGCGTGTGTTACAGGAGTCAGAGGGTCAGGGAACGGGATGTCCCTTCTGTCGCTGTGAGATTAAGGGTACAGAGCCCATTGTTGTGGATCCTTTTGACCCCAAGGACAACAGCGGGGGCTCCTGCAGGGGCACATTTGGGGCTGAGGGTGCTCCGTCACCCAGCTATGACGATGATGATGACGACAGACTTGAAGACCCCCACCTCATGATGAGCAAACTTGCCTGTACAAAGGTAAGATTGTGGAAAGACCTTGACTTAATTCAACTAAAGTTATCCCAGTTTGCTCAAAGTTTCCAGTCGTGGCACTGGGCACACCCTGTTTTAGTATTTCCCACTGATAAAACATTGAGGGTCTTGGCTTAGTTGGTTTGATAACCCTGGGTGCACCTCATGGGTTTCTACTGTCCTCTTCTCTTCTCTGTGTTTCTGAGAGACCCATCTCTGTACAGATGAAACACTCCCTGCTTTTTCCTTTTTCACTTCTCGTGTGCTTCAAGCTCACGGCTCATATCTAAAGTCTTTCATCTCCATCTTTCATGGTGCCAAGGTAGCAGCTTTTTGTGCTTCTCAGTATTTGATATGTGGGGCATTCTCCTATCCTACATCTTTTATGTGCCTCAGAGAAGCTCTGTGTGCATTAGTCTGCTTATAGAGTAGGCGAATACCTCAGATCACACACACTTTGATGTGGTCCCTGGAATTTTGGCTTTGATTGCTGACCCAGCCTCCGTCTCATCCTTGTCTATTTCTTTAAATGTACTTGTACACTGTGAAGTATTTGGCTGTACTTCATAAATATTTTGTGTTGATTTGTATTAGTTTGAAGTGTTTCATGTTAAACAAAACATGTTTTGGATATTTTTTTTTTTTTTTCTTTGGAAAAACTGAGCAAAATAAGGCTCTGCCATTGGAGGGTGCAGTAAAATTTAAAGGCCTAGTTACTGTTCTACTAACATTTCATTCATTACAGTGTCAGTCTGTACAATTCATCAAAATATCAAAATTGGAACATGTAACATGAAAAATGAGAACTTAACTGAAATGCCACACACAAAATAAAATAATGTTATTGCATGGCATTATGTGATATGATTAGAAAAGAAATCATAACATTTTCAGCACTGTCATCCTGCTCTAGACAGAGATAACCTCAGACCATTCAAAGAAATAGGATGAGAACTATAGTGTTGTGTATTCCCTTTAATCCATACACAACACGGCTAGGCTTACATTAGAAAACAATGTGGGTGGGTAATACTAGCTGCAGTTTGGATTGGCAGCAGCATCATGATGTGTATCATGTACAGAGCAAAAGCTGATTGTGTAAAAATGTTTCCCATGTAGCAGAATTTGATCACGTGTTGTGCTCTGCTGTAAATGTGATCCAGGTGGAGCGCCCCCCATCACCCATGTCCATGGCTCCTCAGTCCTCTCTTCCCCCTGTGCCACCCAGACTAGACCTGCTACCGCACAGACCTCCCAATCCCCCCGGCGCCTCCAGTCCGGGGGTCACCACAAAGGTAACTGAAAATACACAGTCAAGTTTAGATTATTACAATAAAAGTTCATTCACACAACGTCTTCAATATGGGGTTTGATTGTCCAGTTTATCTGGAAGTGTGTGTCATAGCCTGCAAGTAAACAGGAAATGGTACTGTCATAGGAGAATGGGGGGACTTTGTTGATATTTGTTTTTATGCAGAGATGGAAGTGAAACATAATTTTAATGCAAGCTCTACTGCTGTACCTGCGATGTTTGTTATAACATTTCAGTGTTGTCCCAGAATTTGGTTGCTTCAGTTTACCGCCCAAATTAATCAAATATTCTGCTGTGCTTTTGTGGTGCATCAGCAAAGTTGACGCAGAGAGCAAAACCTAGACTAAAATTTAAGAATAATTTAACATGTAAACCAGCTCTGTTATTGAAATTACACTTACTCCTATTACCCCATTAACACAAGTAAGGTGTTGAAATGACGGTTACGGTAATCGATGTATTTAACATTCTGCATATGGCTCATTTTAGGGTGTATTTCCACTCTCTGACACTTTCATATTACTACATACACATACATTTATGTTTAAAGTGTAGATAAATGGAAACTGTAGATAGGAATCTGAAAGTGTCTGCAGCTGAGAAACATTTTACCTTTGTGTTATTCATCTAGATGATGTATATGGTTGATTATGATGATGAATTCCTACACCACGGTCTTGTTGCTAAATGGATTATTTCTGACAGCACAGAGTTTTCTTGGATTGCACATCAATATTGTATGTAGTCTAAATGGGCTCCCTCAATCTCTGTTTCTCCCCTTCAGGCAGCATCTCACCACAAAGACAAGCCTCTTCCCCTCCCCCCAGCACTGAGGGATCTTCCCCCTCCTCCTCCTCCGGACCGGCCCCACACAGCTGGGACAGCCCCCGATGGACGGCTGCAGAGACGGCCCTTACCGTGCACTCCCGGGGAGCCCCCTCGAGATAAGCTCCCTCCTACACCTCCAAACCGGCCCCTGGCTGACTGGAACTCTAGGCCTGTTCCCAAGGCCCCCACCTCCTCTTCATCATCCTCGTCCTCATCTTCCTCGTCCTCCCAAGTGTCTAGTCTGGGAGGGGACATTCGAGCAGGTGTCAGGGAACTTTCCAACCGACACTCCCTCCCCTTGGCGCTGCCCTCTGCTCTGGACACCCGCTCCGACTCGCAGAAGAACAACAGCTCCCTCAGTCTGGATCACCAGCTGGTCAGAGAAACCACAAAACACCACACACTAAACTACCATTTGGTTTGATGTGTATTCATTGGCTGCAGTTACAAGCACACAGTATTCAAGTTAGTTGTCATTGTCCAAGAAAAATAAATGAAAGAATCCAGTATGTGGGTTTGAGCTATCGTTGGTTCTTAGCAGGGCATTCCCGACAGATCACTACACCACACAACTGCTGTTTGATCACATTTACAACAGGGACATGAAATAAAAGTGTATTTGTTACTTCTATTACTATTTGTAAAATCCATGTTGTTAATTTTGGGAAATACACTTATTCACTCTCTTGCTGAGAGTTAGATAGAACCAGCTTCATATTTACTGACATGACAGTCGTGTCAATCTTGTCATTTTAGCACTAAACCAAGTAAGCGTATAGATGTAGAACTATCCCTTTAACGTGATTGGTATTTGGTGTCTAGATTTTGATTGTGTAAATATTCTTCACATTAAAGTTTCTAAGATTTCTTCTTCTGCGTATTTTCCAGAATTTTGCCGCAGCCGGTCAAGATTATGACAACCCCAAAGTCAAGCCCTCAGCCTCAGCCAACGCCATCTATTCACTGGCAAGCAGGTACGTTGTACTGGCACTCACTGTGACATTAGGTCTGACAAGACAATGATTTTTAGCTCACTTGCAGATCACAATGTGTTAAAGACATTCATACAAAGCATTTTATTTCATTTCAAACACCTTCAGTGTTTTAGGTTTTATAAATCCAGTTGTGTCATAAATATTCCTTGGTTGTTCTCAGACCGTCTCAAGCCCTGAGGGCAGTGACAGGAGAGGAGGCACGGGACAGCGAGGAGGAGTCGGAGTACATGATCCCCTCCTCGCGCCCTGTCCTGCCCCCTATCACGGCTCCACCTGTAGGGGAGACCCCACCAGTTCCTAGGCCGTCACAACCTCAGCCTTCATCAGCGCTCCAGGCACAGAGCCAAGCCTCCACACTCAACTCAAGGTATTAAACACTTTCAGTGAATCCACCTTCAGGAGCACAAAAATGACTTTTCATTCTTTGGTGATATTGTTTTGTTAGTATTTGCAGGGTTGTGTGTGTCAGTGTTATTTTATTATTGTTGTTTTCTGCTGTAGGCTGGCACTAGCTGAACTAGAGGATGGACCTCAAATGTATGAAGCTATGTACAACATCCAGGCCAGGTCACAACAAGCCAGAGATTCAGGTATTTTGATTCACTAACCTTTCACTAACTAGAATAAGCTGAACGAGGGAATTCGAGGTAGGCAGCATGAGTCGCTTTCATATCCTGTTTTAGAATTTGTACCTTTGTGCAGACCTTTCTGCCTACCACCCTGCAAGGATTTATTTGTGTTATCCGTGCTTTACAGTTAACAGCTGGTGGGGAAAAAAACTGACTGAAACCAGTCAATCTGAATGTCTGAATATTAGTTTAACTCCAAAACACCATCCCCACCATCTGGAAAAAACTACACCTACTCTGTGTTGGCATGACTGTGAATTATAATTCTGTTCACAGTGAGTCATCTGAAGCTGTTTCAGAGGATATAAGGATCTGTGTATATGAATGAAACCAGGCATATGCTAAGTCTGTATTTAACTTCATGTAGTTCTGTCTCCGAGTCTGTAGTGCTAACAAATTGTTTCCCATCCCTCCAGACTATTCAGAGTTGCCCCCTCTGGCGATGGCCAACGGTCCCAGAGACCACACAGCTGAGGACAGGGAAGAAGAGGAAAATGGCTATGACTTCCCAAAACCCCGGCTGCCGATGCCCCCCGCCCGACGGACCTTTTCAGAACTGGGGGGGTCGTCTTCCTCCTCTTCATCCTCCTCATCATGCTCATCCTCCTTGGCTGCTTTCAGCCGCCTTTCCTTAGATTCAGATGCTGGAGCTGCAGCACGTAAGTGTACTTGGCCCTGCTGAGCCAGAGCTGTTTTTTAATACATGATAAATCTTCATAAAATAATTGCTCCGTGATTGTGATAAATACACAGCCTACACAGTCAAATCTTTGAACACTCTACTTTGATAGTTTACAAGCGAATCCCAAGCAATGTAATTGTAAACTAAATGTACAGATACCCCCAAATTATGGGGTATTAAACAATGAGCCATGTTATGAAAGAGAGGTTTGATACTGTAGCATATGACCCACACAATCCAAGTTTACAGATGACTTTGTCAGTTTTGTTGCCTCAACTTGCACGTGCTAGATAAGGTTATGTCTGGCTGTCAGAAAGAGTGAAATGAAAATTAAACTACCTCAATAGCTAAATACCTTTAGGGTAAGCAAGAAATACCTTTCGTTACTTTAAAACTTGGGCTCTTATATTAAGAGTTTAAAAGTTGAAATTTTACATTAATGCTGGCTTATATGGTAACTGGTTGGCAAGAATGGAAAATGGTACATCTGTTTTATAAAATCACTTGGATGTAAAAATTTATAACAGCTGCCTCTTCAGGTCCCTGTCTGCCAAGATGAATTAAAATTGCTGATGAATCAATATCTTGAAGTAGTACAAAAGTTGCGTGACTGAGTGAGCAGCCTGAAAAGTCGACTTAAGTGTTTTGCTGCTACCTGGTATGGGGCCAGACATAATACAGATTTTCCAGAAGCTCTCTGAAGTTAATGCTAGACTCCATTTTGGACTTTGATAAATTGCCATGAATCGATTGCCAGACATCATTTTCTCCAGTATGTGCAATCACTGTGCAAAGAAGGGTAAAGACCAGTAATTACAGAGAGCTGTTCACTTACATCAGTGACCGTAAACCTAGAAAAACAGTAAGGGATGCCTCCAGGATTTTGGATCTGATCAAACCTGATGGTGGAATAACCATCTGTATCTCATACTCAGCACAGAGGTGTCCTCCATCGCAGACAGCAAGGTTGTGTAGAGGTTTTACTAATGCAGCATTAGTGACCTTAGCAGACCTCAAATGTAAAGCAGGTGCAGGAGGAACCATGGAGAGCTGGAGCAGAGCAGGACTCAAAGGCAACATGGGCGGATTGTTTGAGAGGATTTTAGTAGAGTCACTGACAAGCTTAATGAAGGAGTTGCTGGTGCTAATATGGAGCCTTTCAGTGGTGAAAGCCACAGTACTAAAAGTTCATCTTCATGTGACAATCTTTAATTTCTCTCTCTTAGTCTCTGCGGCAAGCTGACATTTAACCACTGCGTCTTGCTGTGTGTCTGAGTATTCCACCAGTGCCCTGAATCTTTGTTGTTGAGGACCAATTAAGTTGCTCTCAAACACTGACAAGCTCTCACATTATAATTCGACTCTTTATGAGGGCCTTGTTAAATGTCACAGCTGTGGAAAGGTCAACCAGTTCACCATATGTACTTAATGATAAAAATGTGCAGTTTACTTCACAGACAATCCACATGTTGCCTTCTACAAATCACAGTGATCAAGATTTTTTATTAATTTTAATTAATAAAATAATTATATTATGATTATTATTAATTCTTAGATTAAATCTAAATTATTGCAGCAAAGTAAATCGTTATTCACATTGACCAATATGGACTTTTGTTTTTTTTTAAAAAGGTATTTATTTCATTGTTTCAGATTTAACAAAACTAGAGAGTGTCTCAGACCTTGTGGCTCTAAAGGCGTATACACTCACTGTCCCCATTTCTTCAGCCTTCTCAGAGTCAGTGGAAGCACCAGAGAGACCTCCAAAGCCCCTGCCCAGACGAATCAATTCGGAGCGCCGACCCAGCCCTGTCCCGCCCATCCCTGCTCCACCCAGTAGTGGAGCAATGGGAGGAGAAGCCAACCCTCAAATAAGTAGCGAGATAGAGCACCTCATGAGTCAGGGATACTCTTACCAGGACATCCAGAAAGCACTGATGATTGCACAGAACAATATTGAAATGGCCAAGAATATCCTACGCGAGTTTGTCTCCATTCCCTCCAACGCTCATATTCTTACATAGCACACTCCTTGTGCCTCTCTTTCGTGTTTGCTCTCTCGCCCTCGCTTGGCCCAGCCTGGTTGGGTTTAGATTGGCACAGGCCAGCCCAAAGCCCAAAGCCCATTGCCTGCAGCACTGCCTCTGGTGCTGGCTGATGCCCTACGCCCCTGTGGATTTTAACTGGCTGTGACTCCAGCGAGCTCACAGCATCTCTGGGACTCTGCGCCCTGCACTCCATGCGCTTTCAACAGTGTCTGGCCTTCTTAAAACTGTTATACAGCAGGCCTCTTCGTTTTCAAGAACATCTCCGTGGGACTGACTGAGCACATGTGGAGCAATGACGGGACGCCACATAACGCAAGACTTTGGTAGGAATCCTGGGAAGAGAGATTCTTATCTTTCATGTCGAAGCCTCTTGCTGAAAATGTAACCAACACCTCACAAATAAAACTAAAAATGTATGTCTATATGAAAATTTAATATATGAGTAAATATATATTAAATGTGTGTAATATATACAGTACGTGCATATACAGTATGTGAAAATGATTTCAGCTTTGAGGGTCGCTGTTGGTACAAGCGATATGGGTAGACAGGGACCAGATAAAAGGGGGGTTTGGCCCTCTGTCAGACTAAGGGATGTGACAGTGTGGAGAAGTACATGTGAGGAAGAGTCGGGGTGTCTTCCTCACCAGGATGCGTCGGTCAGCAGCAGCTTAGAAGACATGCAGCAGAGCTTTTCCGTGATGAATTCAGTCTGTTATGGCCTTTGATTAACAACTTTGCTTTGGTACTTTTTTTTTTTTTTTTTTTAAAAAAAAATCCTCTTTTTTCTTTTTTTTTTTTTTTTTTTTTAAGTAGCATGATGATGGTTTCAGGTCTGGACTGTTGTCTGGCAGTGTGTGTGTCCATGTGTAAGTGTGTGTTTGTGTATGTGAGCATGCATGTGCGCGTGTCTGCCAGACCTACTCCTCATGACCTGCTCTCAAATGAACCCCTGTTCCTGTACAACATGAATGTGGAATTACAGTCAGTATACTCAGACTCGTGCTCTGTAAACTTACTACTGCTCTAACTCATATGGCAGGGCTAATGCGTAGCTGTAGAGTCTGGCAGTGAGATTATTAGAGGACGTACTAATGTCGACAACCCTGCAGTACCAGACAGGCAAGTGTTGTGTGATCCGTGGCGGCTGAAATGTTTTCGTTCTGTCTTCGTCTAACTTCATTGGCTGGCTGATTCGGGTTTCTGCCTCCAGCTAAGTCCAGTGTTATGAAACAAACAAAAAAATTTTTTATTGATTTACTTTGGTAATATATTATTGTAATATGATCATAAATATTGTTATTATAATTAATTCAGAAGTGCTTCACTGCTGCTACTATTGTTAGTGCTAAACAATTAAGCCTTAAATGTACATTTGTGAATATTGTGTTTAACCGTCGTCCTGTTTCTTTAAAGTGACAGTATCACCTGTGTTTCTCCAGTCCGTAATGTAGCATACTTGAAAGTACAAACGGCTTGTGAGATTGCAGCCCTCTCAAGCTGTCAACTCTTCAGTGTTTTAAAATCTTTTTTTTTTCATTGTTTTTTTTTGTTTGTTTGTTTTGTTTTTTTTTTAGGTGGACTCTGTATAGCATCAGTAATAAAGCAAACAAAATGCTTTGGGTATGGAAACCAGCCATTTTGTAATAGATTCAGGCTTCTCTTTCACATCAGCTTCCTTTCTCCGTGGAGTTCGCCCCACTGAAAGGGAATGAGGCTTTTTTAAAAAGTAGGCTCATGGGTTTGCTGGCCCACCCCCAAGTCTACTTTGAAATCAGTATTTGGGCCGACTGTAAGAACTAACTCAGGAATAATGTTTTATCTGAACACGTGGCGTTCACCCTGGCTGTCAAAAAAAAAAATGGAGGAGATTCATTGGCATAGACAGCAGCTCATCTGTTAGCTGTCTGTTCATCCAGGTGACATGTAGCCAAATGTATCCGCTTAATGAAGTCACACAAGTAGCCTATTACTTATTCTTTTTTTGTCACATTATAACTTGCACATTTTTCGTATAATTTCCAATATTTACAGGACTAGAGACAGCAGCTTCATTTCCAGGTACTATGAATGAATAAGAAATGAATGCCAGGAGCTTTTAGGTACATTGACTTGAACCTCTCCCAGCATATGAAGAATGTTGTTTTTTGGGAGGGTGTACATGACATGTCAATAGCTAATCAGCCATAGCTCATTCTGGGTAATGCTATGTATTGACTGGAACCTATCTCCACACTGTCTGGCCATCCTCTAGTTCTTTTGTTTCTGTTCCTAGTTGCCTTGAGAAACTTCTTGAATGATAGGTAATGGATTGGGAGGTCCCCGATCCTCAATACTGTACCAATGTTTTGTTGATGTTTTTGAGGACAGCCTTATCGTGTATTATTTACCTTTTTATTTTTGTTCGTTTTTTCGCACAGTACACCAATTTGTGCTTTGATACTGTCACTCTAAAGAAAAGCACATTGTATAAAGTTAGTAATATGAAAAGAAAAAAATTGCTGTTTTATTTCATTTTGCATTCCTGTACATGTATTTTGTTCCAAAGGTTTTGTTTACTTATGTGAATAATTCTCTGTGAGCAGTGCCATATGTTTAGAGATCCTCACCATGTTTAGAATAAGGCCTTGTTTTTGAAGAGAGTTTGTAGGTATTGTAGGTATATGTACCTGTTGATCTCTGAAGGCAAGATTGTGCAGTATTGCTTGTATTAATCTGTCCCCTCTGAATCGTCAGCCGCATCTTAGAGAACAAGCACTGGTCTGTGTCCCAGGTCAGTTCTCAGCCTCAGTGATGCTAGATGTGTACCAGCACCCAGTTGTGTTAAGTCCCTCTGCTGGGGTACTTCAACTTTCTGCCAGAAGAGGGAGCTGTTGTTCCATGTAGCTGTGTTGCTTCTCATCAGTAAAAGGCATTCATTAACTTTTTGATGGTTTTTAAAGCTCATATCACTTTGGAAGTATGCACAGTGCTGTTAATAAAAATGATAAGCAAAAGACATCTCTCTCCTTTACATACTTATTCAAGAATGTTTGGCTTGTAGATGACATCAGAACTATCCAATGTAAAAACTAAATTTCTTCTGCTTATTTTAAAATCAGGATACATAAGACATTGTTATTATTATTATTATTATTATTATTATTCAGTAATTCACTTATTGAACAGTGAATTCACTGAAGTAATTCATACACTGACTTTATGCTGCATTAATTACGTAAAATTGAAAAACATTACAGTGACTATTCACTTTGATACTTTGGTGTATTTCACTACAAATACTTTTATGCTAAGCTTGCTTAGATTGCAGTAGCATTATTTCACAGCAAATATTTTGACATTAAAGATGGCTGAATTCAGTTTAGGGACAGGCTCACTCCCTGACAGGGCTTCCCGGCACACTTAACAGAATGGAGCCATCATTAATGTTGTTTACACCTGTGCTTTTCCTGCTTTGAAAAGTCTAAATGTGCCGTGAACATGGTCTGCTGAAGTGAAGCAGGAGGACAGGTGAGGCACTGTACAGGAGCACATATGACTGTGGAAACAGTCCAAAGGCAGATTTGATGAATCTCTGTTTTGAGGGGGATGCAACAAAGTGTGCTTAACAGTACATGACAGTATATATTCAGGAAACAACACAGGTTCTTGCACAGACCTGCAGGCAGGTTCAGGTCTTCGGTTCTGTTTCTGTTTATGTCTTGTAGCTGATGGTCTTGAAAGTTCAGTAATGCATTTGTTAACTGTATTAAAAAGCAAAATCTCATTTGACTGCCTGATCAAATCAGCATCATATCTGAGCCATTTTTAAAACTCTTACATAACTTAATAAATCTGTACTCTGTGCACCAACAGACTAATAAAGATATCATATGCTTATTTATGTCTGCAGGAGCGAGATGATAACATGTTTTAGGTGTCTGCATGTTGCTTGCATGAACACTTCATTTACAGGCCAGTCATCGCCAAATAAGATTTTCCTAGAAAGTTGGTACTAATTATAGGAAAAATAGATATTTCATTGAAATAACTGCAGTAGTAAATACTCATCCACATAAATCTCCATATAATTTTAAGGGTATGCCTTTAGAAAAATTTCACATTCCTCATACTGACCTGGCCTGTAGTGCATTGACAATAAGTCATGCTACATTAAGCTATTATTAATAATTATAGTAATTAGAGTTGTTTACTGCCTATTATGAAGCTCACTGTCTAACTTCAACAGACACATTTTCAGTTCCTCTTTTCTTTTAAGTCAATCTTTATTTGGTATAATTTTCAAAAACAACAAACAATGAATTTGTTGGTAAATTGGTTTGAATGCCATCACTGACATTAATTTTACAAGGCATTAAAAGGCATTTTACCAAACAATTTAACATGGGTAGTAAACAGCAGAAACAGATGACAGACTAAGAGAGGATAGGTTGGGTAAGTATGACAGCTGCACAGAGCACCTTGATTTGTCTTCCAACTTGATTTGCATATGTGGAGTCACAGTCATTCCCCCCTCAGCAGAAGTCATGGAACAATGTTAATAATGTGTCGACATGAAACTACATTTAAATGTGGAGTGGGTGTCAATTTAAGGCAAATGACCTCTGAGGGGGATTCTGTATGTGTCTCTGATCCAACAGATTATTAGTGTCAGTCAACACATGAATTAATTCATTCATTCAACAGAGATGTGTCTTTTCCTTTAAAGAGGTCGACTTCATGCTGTGAACCATATTTACCATGGACCAATAATCTGTTCTACCCCAAAAAAAGAAATAAAAGTCACAACAGAAATACTTTTCATTCCACAAACAGTCACATGAAAAGAAACAATGGTTTCACATTAGAGAAACAAAACAACTCAACTGCATGAAGAGTAACAACAGAGAAATCAGTGCACTGAACATTAAATATAACCACAACTAAGTACAAAATGTGGAGTTCCAACATGAATGTAATTTAAGGCAACTGCAGCTTTTTAATCTGACTGTTGGCAAAACTTGAACTCAAACACACACATTATATCAAAACTAGACTGTGAAGGACAGAAACGGTAAAGTAATGAGAACTACAAATAATGTTAACCCTTCTATGTCAAATCCTGAACAGATTATTCACCCGTCTCGCAAAAATATTTTCTTTAATATTCACAAACAGGGGAGTGTGAAGACAGGGGTGTTAGCTGTAGAGAAAAAAAAAACAAACGTGAATAACGTGATTAAATGACCTAAAAGTCTGTGTTCAGAGCTAAAGGGCAAAATTTTTGGCCAAGGCTGGAACTGGCTGTAGAGGGAGGCATCGTTGCGTCCCAATAATTTCAGTGTACAGACTTAAGCAAAACAGAAAACAGACAAAAAAAGAAATATATATATATATATATATATATATATATAGAAACAAGATAGCTAAAACTACCTAACTCTTCCTGCTCTCTATAAAGAGCACCAGAACAAAATATAACACTATCTGGTCATTTATTTTTGGTTGGTTTTTTTAATTGTGTTATTTTAAATAAAGAAATATATACACAGATTATAATATATACACTTAATAAAGAGCTGTTTCATACTTCTCTTCAGTGATTGCTTTGCCTGAGGTGATGCTTAATCAGGTATAAAAAAAAAGTCCCTGGTCAACTTTGTGCTCTAATAATTGTTCTACAGACGATCAGCAGTTTACAAGGCTCTTTGGTTTGAAGGTGAATGATTAATTAGCAGAATTATGTCATAGAGAGATCACTCCTAATTAAAGCTTGAGGTGCATTCCAAGAGATGTGTGCTGGGACGTAAAGGACAGTAAGCAAAAGCTGCAGCATGGAATGATCTGAGTCTCAGCCGTCCATCAGGACATTAACTGACAGACAACTGAGCTTCTCCATGACATAACGCTGGGATAAGGAGCTCTGGTGGAGGTTCGAAGGCTTCAGCAAGGTCTGAGGCTGAGAGGGAAGAACAGGAGCAGCTGTTGTGTGTCTGAAGTCACCTCGTCACTTTTGCACGACCAGGTCCTCACCACCCTTTACTCCAGGGTGCAAACATAAACATTACAACACACAGAGAGAGAGAGAGAGAGAGAGAGAGAGATAGAGAGAGGTGGGGTGGAGGATGTGTAAAAATGTTAATGGTGTAATCAGATCAGCAGAAAAACAATATTATCTTCAGCCTGAGCCAGTTCAGTTTAAGATTAGGTATCTACCTGGTCGCTGGGAGGTTGTTTTTCTCCGTTGACCCCGAGGAGAATCGCTTCCTCTGTGTTGTCGCTCTTCATCTCCACCACGATGTTATCTTTGTTGGACTTCTCTTTGGTGCTGCAAAACCAGGGACATGCTCACATTAGAAACATGCATATTGCAATATGCTGTTTGGCCATAATGAGTGATGATTAGAGCTGGAAAATTGTATGATATTATTGCATATCAACTTTCAGAGGAAGCATGCTCAGTTATATGCTCAGTTATACTATACACAAAATTATTTATGTAGAGGATTTTATGTAATTATGCACATATTTCATCCAGTGTTTTGATGACTCAATTTTTACTTTTTAAGGGTTAGTCAGTTTGCACAGTGAAACTCTGTTGTGATGAGCCCTTGTAAAATGCTAGAAAACTGTGATATAGATTTTAACCATATCTCAGAGCCCTAGTAATGATTATGATTTTTTTCATATTTAAAGACACATCATATGTTTTTGCATCATGTCGCTCTCATTGCACTTACAGGTCCTGCTTGCCAGATCGGCCACAGATCTTGCCCTTTTTGTAGAGGAAGTAGAGCACACTCCCCAAGATGGCCAGCAGCAGGATGCAGATAATGATGACTGCAATGATAACACCACTGCCCTCTGGTGGAGAAGAAGCACAAGGACAAGCACAGGATTACCAGCTGTAACTGGAATGTGAATGAGACGACGGCATGAAGCTGGAGAGTCGGATTCAGGATTGTGTTGAGCGGGCTGTGCAGCATTCAGTGTGTAGGAACAGTAGGCAGCATTTTACAGTGCGACTAAAAAGAGTGAAGCACTAGCATCATTCATTTGACCTAAACCTGGCAACCTAAAATCATTCAGGAGTTTAGGAGGAGAGGTGTGCTTATACAACAGCCAGACAACATGCACAGGAAGAGGTGAAGATTAACTATTCAGCGATAGTTTGATGTTTTGCTCATCGAGCGGTGGGGTGGGGGGGAGGGGGTTCTGATGAAAGGGAGGTGCTTTGGAGGAGAAGTGGAAGGAAGCTTTTTGCCTTTGAGCTTGAGAGGTGCAGCAGCGTATCATACAAACCTTTTTTGATTTTCTCTGGTGGGACAACTGTTTCTGTTTTAACTGACAAAAACCACAAAAGCACAGTTATCAGTGGGTGGCTGGATGTATTGAATAGACACAGTTTAGATCTTTAGCACAGGCGTGAACTTAATTTGAAATGATCTTATCTGGTATTTGAAACTAAACATCTACTCTAACTGTGGTCAGTAGCACAGCAGTCATTTCCCAGAGCAGCGGGGCCAAGCGGCCCTGTTTAATCTCATTTAACCAGCCTTTTGTGAGAAACAACAACCCAGAACAGTTTTCCTCTTAGGGGCTGGATATTTCCTGGCATGATGTAGAAAACAGAAAGGACACAGAAGGAGGGAGAAAACACAAGGCAGGAGGCGTAATGGGAGTCAGGAGACTCGCTCTGAGTGCATTTAAAGCATCAGCTGCTTTCTAGAGTCACACTGATTTCACGTGTGTTTGTGGTTGTGTGCTGTGTATGTAACTGCACGCCATAGTGCTAACAGGAATGCTCATTACTCATAACGCTCCTCTTTGCAGAAGGTGAACCATGCCAGTCATTTTTTTATCTAGTTTAACTGATTACTTTTCTGGGATAGAAACTTCGTCTCATGCTGTCAAGTTTTCATTTTCACATAATTTGTAAAATGAAGTTTAATTATATATTAACGGAACAGGCAGAAAATCGTCAGGGCTGTGGCAACACATTAGTCAATAAGACACCTTGCAGCGATAACAGGCCTCAGTAATATTACCCGTTTAAAACTATAAAACAGAGGTTTAATCAGAGCAATCACTCCTCAACACTGCTGTAATGACCTTTCAGTGATGCCAGTATGGTAATTGCTGCAGCCTTCACGTGCATTCTAGTTTTCCTTTTTCTCACTCTCATTCTTTCTGCCTGACTCACCAGGAAATGGCACAGCTTTTTTTTAAGTGATTTTTTCATTTTGATTTAGTGATGTTGTAAACTTCCTCTAGTTTGAGTCTTGACTGCAGTGCAGCCGGCCTGTGGTCTTACCTGTGGCAGAGGAAATGGAAGTGCTAGTAGTAGTGGATGTGGTGGCTTGTGTGGTGGTCTGTGTAGCTGAAAACAGGTTGGGGTTAGGACACTGGGGGAGGAGGGGTGAACACTGAAAAGCCACACAACTTCACGTCCGAAACAACAACGACAACAACACTGATTGAAAGGTCCAAAATCACAGGCAAGACATTACAGCACATGACAGAGCTCGAGGCCTTCAGACAAAGTAAAAATAAACGAAGAAGTGACAAAGACAGAAGGAACAGAAGGAAACGGGGGAAGCGAGAAGGGCAACAGATGGAGACATACACACAGAAAAACACAGGGCAGGGACAGGAAAGGCAGGCAGTGGGGGACTCACTGGCTTTGATGCTGAAGGTCATCGCGTCAGTACCGAACTTGTTGGAGGCACTGCAGACAACAGTGAGGTCAGAGGTGACCTTGACTCTGACCACACTCTGAACACTGTCCTCCATCTGTTTTTGGGGTTCTGCCTTCAGGACCTGGCGTAAAAACACACAGTTAAAGAAAAACAGATCAACCAGCAGAAAAGGTTTCCCTGTCTTCTGCATGGCAACGGTTGCAGAGTCGAATGCAGCTCTGAGACATCCTGTCACAGACTGAAGCAGCTCACAGCACGGCTCTCTGGGATTTCTTTTCAATGGAGAAGGGAGGAATAATCCATTGAGTTTTGTCAAAGTCAGACCAACGGCGTTGAAGATATTACACTTAAATCAACAAGACAGCCATGCTAGCAGCTCTGTAAGGCTGTAGTTAGAGATGAGCTGAATGCTAATGCTAGCATTCTACTATGCTTACAGTTACAATGCTGAGGTTTAGCGGATGTAATGTTTACCATGTTCACCATTTTGTTTTGTTTTTTAGATATTTAGTCATGAAAGAAACATTTGGACCTGATTATGATGCTGCCTAGTGAAAAGATCTAATCTAATGAGTACACATTTGGCAAAAGTGCATTTCTGTTGCAGCTGATCCAACGACGTGAAGCTTCCCTCTGCAGTACCTTTCCATCAGATGTGGTCCAGGTAATGCTGGGAGCTGGGAAACCTCTGGCAAGGCAGCTCAGTTCCACGGACTTCTCAAAACTCTCCTCTATCTCCGTGTTATCTGGCTTCACGATCTCTGGTGTGCCTGGAGAGAGAGGAGCGAGAAAATAACCTTAAAAATGTTCCTTCATGACCATAACTGCTATAAAGTACCTGTTGCAAACACACAAATACTGTAAAAGTTTCTTTAAAAACTAGACATAAAACCAATATAAACTCATACTGAAACTATACATATATTATATTTCTTCAAGAGTGTAGCAGTGTAATTATTCAGTGCCTGTGAACAGACTCACCCATAACATTAACACGAAGTGTGCCACTGGTCTCCATCCCCTTGATCTCAGGAACAGTAACCATACACACGTACGTCCCTGCTGTGTGTAATGTAACGTCCTTCACGATCAAAGTGTGACCTTTCAATACCTCCTCTCCATTCTGCACACACCAGGGCAGAAAAAGGCATATTTAACACACACATGTAAACAGTGGTTAAGTAAGTACGTTTTTTTACACAAATTTGTGCTGGGAAATTTCAGACAATCTCCACAAAGTCCTTTTTTTAACTTAATGGTCTTTGGGTGTTGATTATTCTTTACTTTAACTGATGTGCGGCATTGCAATAATTATATTATAAATAATAATGAGAAAATAATATTCAGTTGTATTTTTTGGGTGTTCAAAACTTTTAGGCAAGCTGCTGCCAACAAAAAAATCAATGAATGTTTTCACAGACTTCCTGGTTGTCACACTGGCTTGGTTCTACACAAATGTTAACTTTTAGATTCACTGACATCTGCATGATAAACTCCCACAATAGTGGTTGAAACTTAAACTCTAGTCTGCACATCCTAAAAATGAGCCATGAGCTAAATGATGAGCAAGTGTTCTGAGTGTCAGGATAAGACAAAATGACCTGAAAGACGTGGGGCACCAGAAAATGAGCGTTGGCTGTGACAATTTTATCCTGTGTAGTATTTGTCATAGTGGAAGACGGGAGAAGTACTGTGTGTGTGTGTGTGTGTGTGTGTGTCTGTGTCTGTGAGACCTTAAACCAGGCTGTGTGTGTCTGAAGAGAAGAGAGGGCGTTGCAGGTGGCCTTCAGCTCCTCTCCTTGATCCACCACAACAGTATCTTCAGGAATCACCACAGCAGGATCAAGATCTACACACACAGCAAAGAGATAGAAACGGCAAGAAAAAAGTTTAAGCCGGGGACATACAGTTGTTCTGCTGGTAAAATGTATTCGTTGTCAACGTCACAAATCAGATCTGTGCAGATTCCTTACAGTTGACGAATACTGTGATATTTCTCGAGATGGTTTCAAAAGTTTCCAGGTCCAGAGAGTTGCACTGGTAAACTCCACTGTTCAGACGGGTCACATTATTCAACACCAACATATTGGAGTCTAAAGTCTGTTCAACCTACAAAGAGCCAAGGTAATCTGATCAACACATAAGCATAAAACTTTTAACTCAACATAGAAAAAAGGTTGTTAAATGTAAGCTCTTGGAAGCTCTTGAAGACCTATTAATGTAGGCCTGAACTACAGTATGCTGCTAACTCAGGGTGCATGAATCATGAGCACATAGGTCTTGATTTTCTTACGCCTGCATGCGTGATTGACATGGAGGATTCAGTATTTCCATTTCCATGGCAGTGAAGCTCGACTGAGTCCCCTTCCTTGATTTTGCCCTTTGGTGACTCCACCCACACACTTACGGCTGTAGAGGGGTCTGAAACAGAGAGAGGAATACAAGTTAAGAGCACAAACTTCAACTTTAAGTTGTAAAAGTGTCGTGTGATGGCACAACCATCACTACACTCAATCTGCAGCTGCAGCGCTTCGGACTACGTGGTCCTGACAATGTTTACCCCAAATTCATTTAGATTAAGACCAAAGGCATAAGTAGGAAAATGTCTCCCAATATGTTGGGAGGTTACTGTACTGTGACTTTTATGCCTTGCTATAGTATGACATTTAAATGACGTTTTTTATGCCTTACTTTGATATGATGTTCTTTATTTCATACTATATTATGACTATTTAATGATTCTTTATGCCTTACTAAAATATGACATTTTAAGAAAATTTTATGCCTCCCTAAACTATGACATTTGTTGACGTTCTTATGCCTTACTATACTATGATGCTTTAAGACAATTTTATATCTTAGTATACTATGACGTTTTTTGATACAATACTATAGTATGATGTTTTTTGAAATTTTTTGCATTACTATACTATGAAGTTTTTTTTATGTTTTTATGCCTTACTATGCTATGATGTTGTATGCCTTCCTATAATATGACATTTTTGGATATTTTTATGCAATACTATGATATGAAGGTCTTTGACATTTTTAAGACTTACTATATATGAGGTTTTTAAATATTTTAATGCCTAACTATACTGTGACGTTGTTTGATGTTTTCATGCAACACTATTCTATGTTTTTTGACATTTTTAGGCCATACTATTCTATGATGTTTTTAAATATTTTTATGCCTTACTATACTATGACATTGTTTGACGATTTTATGCCATACTTTACTATGACATTTTTTTGATATTTTAATGCCTTACTATACTATGACGTTTTATGCCATACCATACTATGAAGTTTTTTGATGTTTTTTCACCTTACTATATTGTGACGTTTTTTGACGTTTTATGCCTTACTATACGATGACGTTTTATGCCATACTATACTATGATGTTTTTTGACGTTTTAATACCAGACAATGTTATAACGATTTTGGACATTTTTGTACCATACTATACGATGACATTTTTGTATATGTTTATGCCATAATATAGTATGTAGTATATTTTTTGATGCTTTTATGCCTTATTATACTATGACGTTTTTGACGTTTTATGCCTTACTATACTATGACGTTTTTGTATATGTTTATGTCATAATGTAGTATAACGTTTTTTGATGTTTTTATGCCTTATTATACTATGACGTTTGATGCCATACTATACTATGACATTTTATGTCATACAATACTATGATGATTTTTGACATTTTTGTGCGATACTATACTATGACGATTATTGACGTTTTTATGCCATACTATAGTATGACGATTTTTGACATTTTTTGTGCCATACTATACAATGATGATTATTGGATATTTTTATGCTATAAAATACTATGATGTTTTTTGATGTTTTTATGCCGTATTATACTATGACGTTTTATGCCATGCTATACTATGACGTTTTTTGATGGTTTTATGCCTTTCTATACTATGACATTTTCTGATGTTTTTATGCCATACTATGTCATGAAGATTTTTGACATTTGACATTTTTGGATAATTTTATGCTATAATATAGTATGATGTTTTTTAATGTTTTTATGCCTTATTATACTATGACGTTTTATGCCATACTATACTATGACGTTTTTTGACGTTTTTATGCCGTACTATACTATGACGTTTTTGGATATTTTTATGGCATAACATAGTATGATGTTTTTTGATGTTTTTATGCCATACTATAGCATGACGATTTTTGACATTTTTATGTCATACTGTACTATGATGTTTTTGGATATTTTTATGCTATAACATAATTTGATGTTTTTTGATGTTTTTATTCCTTATTATGCTATGACGTTTTATGCCATACTATACTATGACATTCTTTGACGTTTTTATGCTATACTATGTTATCACAATTTTGACATTTTTATGCCATACTATACTATGACGTTTTTGGATATTTTTATGCTAAAACATAATATGATGTTTTTTGATGTTTTTATGCCTTATTATACTATGATGTTTAATGCGATACTATACTATAACGTTTTTTGATGTTTTTATGCTAGAGTATGTTATCACAATTTTTGACATTTTTATGCCATACTATACTATGACGTTTTTGGATATTTTTATGCTAAAACATAATATGATGTTTTTTGATGTTTTTATGCCTTATTATACTATGATGTTTAATGCGATACTATACTATAACGTTTTTTGATGTTTTTATGCTAGAGTATGTTATCACAATTTTTGACATTTTTATGCCATACTATACTACAATGTTTTTGGATATTTTTATGCTAAAACATGATATGATGTTTTTTGATGTTTTTATGCCTTATTATACTATGACGTTTAATGCGATACTATACTATTACGTTTTTTGACGTTTTTGAGCTATAATATGTTATTACAATTTTTGACATTTTTATGCCATACTATGCTATGATATTTTTGGATATTTTTATACTATACATACTATGATGTTTTTTCATGTTTTATATTCCTTATTATGCTATTACATTTTATGCTATACTATACTATAACGTTTTTTGACGTTTTTATGCCATACTATACTATGACGTTTTTGGATATTTTTATGCTAAAACATAATATGATGTTTTTTGATGTTTTTATGCCTTATTATACCATGACTTTTCACTCTAAACTATACTATAACGTTTTTCGACAGTTTTATGCTATAATATGTTATTATAATTTTTAACAATTTTATGCCATACTATACTATGACGTTTTTGGATATTTTTATGCTAAAACATAATATGATGTTTTTTGATGTTTTTATGCCTTATTATACCATGACTTTTCACTCTAAACTATACTATAACGTTTTTCGACAGTTTTATGCTATAATATGTTATTATAATTTTTAACAATTTTATGCCATACTATACTATGACGTTTTTGGATATTTTTATGCTAAAACATAATATGATGTTTTTTGATGTTTTTATGCCTTATTATACCATGACTTTTCACTCTAAACTATACTATAACGTTTTTCGACAGTTTTATGCTATAATATGTTATTATAATTTTTAACAATTTTATGCCATACTATACTATGACGTTTTTGGATATTTTTATGCTAAAACATAATATGATGTTTTTTGATGTTTTTATGCCTTATTATACCATGACTTTTCACTCTAAACTATACTATAACGTTTTTCGACAGTTTTATGCTATAATATGTTATTATAATTTTTAACAATTTTATGCCATACTATACTATGACGTTTTTGGATATTTTTATGCTAAAACATAATATGATGTTTTTTGATGTTTTTATGCCTTATTATACCATGACTTTTCACTCTAAACTATACTATAACGTTTTTCGACAGTTTTATGCTATAATATGTTATTATAATTTTTAACAATTTTATGCCATACTATACTATGACGTTTTTGGATATTTTTATGCTAAAACATAATATGATGTTTTTTGATGTTTTTATGCCTTATTATACCATGACTTTTCACTCTAAACTATACTATAACGTTTTTCGACAGTTTTATGCTATAATATGTTATTATAATTTTTAACAATTTTATGCCATACTATACTATGACGTTTTTGGATATTTTTATGCTAAAACATAATATGATGTTTTTTGATGTTTTTATGCCTTATTATACCATGACTTTTCACTCTAAACTATACTATAACGTTTTTCGACAGTTTTATGCTATAATATGTTATTATAATTTTTAACAATTTTATGCCATACTATACTATGACGTTTTTGGATATTTTTATGCTAAAACATAATATGATGTTTTTTGATGTTTTTATGCCTTATTATACCATGACTTTTCACTCTAAACTATACTATAACGTTTTTCGACAGTTTTATGCTATAATATGTTATTATAATTTTTAACAATTTTATGCCATACTATACTATGACGTTTTTGGATATTTTTATGCTAAAACATAATATGATGTTTTTTGATGTTTTTATGCCTTATTATACCATGACTTTTCACTCTAAACTATACTATAACGTTTTTCGACAGTTTTATGCTATAATATGTTATTATAATTTTTAACAATTTTATGCCATACTATACTATGACGTTTTTGGATATTTTTATGCTAAAACATAATATGATGTTTTTTGATGTTTTTATGCCTTATTATACCATGACTTTTCACTCTAAACTATACTATAACGTTTTTCGACAGTTTTATGCTATAATATGTTATTATAATTTTTAACAATTTTATGCCATACTATACTATGACGTTTTTGGATATTTTTATGCTAAAACATAATATGATGTTTTTTGATGTTTTTATGCCTTATTATACCATGACTTTTCACTCTAAACTATACTATAACGTTTTTCGACAGTTTTATGCTATAATATGTTATTATAATTTTTAACAATTTTATGCCATACTATACTATGACGTTTTTGGATATTTTTATGCTAAAACATAATATGATGTTTTTTGATGTTTTTATGCCTTATTATACCATGACTTTTCACTCTAAACTATACTATAACGTTTTTCGACAGTTTTATGCTATAATATGTTATTATAATTTTTAACAATTTTATGCCATACTATACTATGACGTTTTTGGATATTTTTATGCTAAAACATAATATGATGTTTTTTGATGTTTTTATGCCTTATTATACCATGACTTTTCACTCTAAACTATACTATAACGTTTTTCGACAGTTTTATGCTATAATATGTTATTATAATTTTTAACAATTTTATGCCATACTATACTATGACGTTTTTGGATATTTTTATGCTAAAACATAATATGATGTTTTTTGATGTTTTTATGCCTTATTATACCATGACTTTTCACTCTAAACTATACTATAACGTTTTTCGACAGTTTTATGCTATAATATGTTATTATAATTTTTAACAATTTTATGCCATACTATACTATGACGT